AGATAAATATTTTAGCTGATTTTATCAGATTTTTAATTAATAAATATTTTCAAAATCTAAATTAGATTTATTTAACAGATCACCAAATTTACTGAATCAGACATAAAAAAAAAAGAATACTGCTTAGCACCTTTCCAAATATACCATACCACTCGATCATATGCTTATGTGGTTATAAAATAAAATTTGGACTGTATGTTCACAAATATACTTTTCATTTCTGTTAATAACTATAATGTATATGCTAAAATAGTAAATGTGTTAGATATAGTTTGGTCATATTATGTATTTTTTTATAATATATGTTGTTCATGTTTTTATTTGATACTCTCATAATTCACATTTTTTTTATCTTTTTATAAAATCTTGTTTATTTTGTTATAACGTTTATCAACTTTAAAAATATTATTTATTCATAAATATATTTTGAGGTGTCAATAATATTTCCAAATGTTAATAAAAATACATTGACCTTTTTCCTGTACTCAGAAAAAATATCTTTTGTACTTCTTATTTTTAGTTTAATAAAAGGGAAAATTGGAAAAAAGAAACGCTTTGAATATTTATTTGGTCAAATGTGACTTTTGATATTTTTGGACAATTTGGACATATTTTACTCTTGTGTAATAGAAAAATAGTAAACTAAGTTTTCAAAATATAAAAAAATATGAAAGTGTCAATAAGCATTAGTATATATGAGTATTTATATGTTTAAATTTTTTTTAAAAAAATTGTGGAGTCATGTTTTATTTAATGCTATAGCAATGATATATATTACTCACTATAGCTATCTACTTCGTTTAGGAATCAAATAGTAGGTTTTACACATAGATGTATCTTAGGTACATAACACAAATAAAACTTTCTTCTGTATTTTATCTATGGTAGATTTCTTGAAGTAGTATTCTAACAAGATTTCTTTAGTCTATTTTAAGCATAACTCCGACTTATAACCGCGACTCTAAGGACTACCCAGTTTGGATTATGTGTTATAACTTGTTCTACCTTTTACATTATCATACGCCTAAGATAGAATAAACAACCGACCCTCCCTTCATTACTCTGCTTTACGTAAAATACATATTATAGCTAAATCGAGTAAATATGAAAACTTCCCTATTTCAAGAAATAACTTATCTAAATCTACACCAAATCTAACAAAAATCTCTCAAAAAATATTCTCTCCCACGGTTCTCTCTCACGATCTTTCTCTCCCTCGGCTCTTCTTTGTCTCTCTCTTTTCCTCATCGACATAACCACATCTTCTATCTATCAAAACCACATGATTTTAATCTATGTTACATCTGGTGTATGGATGTCAAGTTGCAGTGATCAATGAAGTTTCTTGGCAGACAAGGAAAGGCGTGGTCGACTGGTAACTATAGAAACTACAACTCTGTTAGTGGAGCTCAAAATCATGGTGTGTGAGGATTATGGGGTCGACCATATGCTTATTAATTTCGAGTTCAGTTATGAGATGGTGAATCAAAGAGGGAATCCTCTTATTATAATCGGCAATGATCGACAAGTATCTAATTTTGTGATGTATGCGAAGAAGGGTTCTTCTACAACCTTGTGTGTCGCGATGTCTGGTACTGCTGCAAAAGAAAAGGAATAAGTCAATATCAATTTGAATAAAGAAACGTGTGACTCAAGTAATGTTGAGGATGAAGAAGTTCATCAAAATAATCGAGGAGACTTTGTCAAACTGTCAACTGTTTCTTCTGAGAAGAAGCGTATCGCTGAGGATGGTTCCGGTGATGCTGGTTTAAGGAATAAAAACAATGGAGATGGTGATAAGGATGGCCGATCTTCGTGAAAAGTTTTTGTGACAAAGGATCAAATATTCAGAAGTAAAGCTGTCCTAAAGGCCACAACTGAAATTTTGGCGATGAACAATAATTTCGACTATGTTGTTCTCAATCGACGAGAAAATGGTGGTATATTTGATGTAAAGATTCAATATGTAATTGGACTGTGCATGCGCAATGTCTAGATGGGTCTACATACTTCTTGATCAAGAAGTGTGTGGAAATACATTCATTTGCACCTTCTAAGGAAAGCAAATTTTGGAAAAAGGCGTCAGCAAGAACAATTCGGATTTTGATACAACATCAATTTGAGGATCCCCATGAAGGACCAAAAGCGAATGACATAGTACAGTATATGCGCCTGGAGCATAGTTGTGAGATTAGTTATTGGCACGCCTGGGAAGCTCGTGAGTTTGCAATTGCAGCAGTTAGAGGTATACCTGATCAAAGTTATGCAAAAATACTAAAATATTTGTATATGCTTAAAGAAGCTAATCCTGGTACGCATACTCACTATGAAACCACTAAGGAAGGGAGATTCAAGTATCTATTTCTCTCGTTTGGGCAATCAGTTAAAGGATTCTACAATGGCATTCGCAAGGTGATTGTTGTTGATGAAACTTTTCTGAAAAATAAATATAAAGCTGTTCTACTTGTGGCTACAACTGTAGATGGTAACTCAGATTTGTATCCGATCGCATTTAGAGTTGTTGATTCAGAGAATCATGATTCGTGGGAGTGGTTCTTTAGACAGTTGAATGTTGTTATTGCTGATAGTAACGGCTTAGTTTTTGTGTCAGATAGAAATGCGTCAATTGCTAAAGCTCTTGGTATTGTCTACCCTCAATCAAGACATGGAATTTGCATTCATCACTTGTTGACCAATGTCGTTAAGAAATTCAAGACAAAGGGGTTGACTGCTTTAGTTGAAAAAGCTTCACGGGCATATAGGTTCAGTGAGTTTCAAGAATGTTACACGAAAATTGTTGATATGTGTCCTGAGCTTGGAAGATATCTATAAGAAGCTGATGTGAGAAAATGGGCTCGTTCTGTTTTCCCTGGATCAATGTATGACATTAAGACCAATAACCTTGCAGAGTCAATAAAACTTGAGCACCTGAGCAAAAACAAGATCTTTCTTCATTTCTTTCAACTCTTTGGCAGCTATTCCTTCAACCTCTCCATATAATACACTATCCTACAATTATTATTGATCTAAGTCACTTGGGTCTTCTTACCCTCCTTAAAAAACCGCTTTGATAACTCCCCAGACATACCTATAATCAAAGATAAAATACTGTTATGAAATCAGAAACAAAGAAAAGAACAACAATGTACCTTTACTTCTGCATAATTTAAAGTACACGTCCTATTACTAAGATTTCAGAGACACCATTACATTCAATCACATTCACAAAACATTACTTTCGGACAGAAACTAAGCTCTCATGACTACTACATTCACAAAACATTACTTTCGAACAGCGACATAAACTAAGCTCTCATGATTACTATATTCACAGAACACTTCTATATGTTAAACATGAATAATAAGCCATTTTCATATTTTTCCTCTTTCAAGCAAACTTAAATAGATACTCTACAAATACAAATCACAAATATTAACATGCATGTCTAGATCGTACTTGATAAGAAGCTTAATCAATCTATAAAAGCAATTATAATTTAATAAATAAATCAAATCGGGTTTAACAAATCAACAGTTAAGAGAATCAAAAGAAGTAATCAAAAACTTAGTGAGATTTTAATGAGAACCTTGAAACATAGTGTGAAGGAATTCTCCAATAAAAATCATATTAGGAAAAAAAGATCGGAATAAACGAAATCGATAGAGAAAAAATAAACTATTCTATTTCTTTCTGAGAACAAAAAGAATAAGAGAGAAAAAAGATTAGAGAGTAGAAAATTGATAATAAACGAGTAAGAAGATAAACAAGTAAGAAGAGAAAGAATGGAAATTTACCGTAAATCTCCAGTATCGCCAGAAGAAATTAGGATAAATGTAAAACGGTGTGTTTTTATCCCTTTTTAACGTGTTACTGTTTTTTACTTTTATTTTTATTTTTGTTTTATATATATACAAGAGAATTTACTTGAAATGACTCTAATTCATCTGAAAATTACCAGAATGACTCATATTAAATTTTAATTACTGGACTAAAATTCGATATAAGCAAATTTACTCAATTGCCCATCTCTTATTTGATATCAGAAGAAGAACATCCAAAAAAAAAAAAAACACAGAAAGAGGGCTTTGTTTTTGTCGTGTCTCTCTCTCACCTACACGACATCGACAGAAAAAATCATGTGGAGCAATCTCCGATTAAGAGTCGCCATGGTCCCTCTCCGACTCCGCCAACATGTCCTCCATTAGAGCCGCCGTCGATTTCGACCTGTCCTCCTCAAGTCGCCATCGTTTCTTTCAAGTAAACCCTAAATCCCAGTTTCAACTATAATTGATAAATCTGTCCAATTCCAAGTAGTTACCACACTTTTATTAATATATACCGTTTGATTGAGATGTTTGATTTAAAATAAACCCTAAATCCCAGTATCAACTATAATTGATAAATCTGTCCAATTCCAAGTCGCCAACGTTTCTTTCAAGTAAACCCTAAATCCCAGTTTCAACTATAATTGATAAATCTGTCCAATTCCAAGTAGTTACCACACTTTTATTAACATATCCCAATTTTAACACTCTTGGCAGATGTTTTGTGAGTTCTTTATTCTTAGTGTTTCTGTTGAGTTTGGTTGATGTGTCTTATGAGAAAGAGATAAATATCTTTTGCTTTATATAAGAGATTAAATCAGTAAAGAAGCCAGAGTTTCTCTGTTAGGTTCGTCGTTACTCACTTAAGTGGACTCTTGTTTGAAGTACAGCGTTATAGTTATTTGTATTGAGATTTTGTTTTCTATTCTTCTCGACTTGATACCGTTCTCAGTGTGATCTGAACACTCACGCTATATTATGATCTTCCCACTAGCATTAGCTAAATTGTTTATTTCGGTTTGCCTTTTCTTTGTATATGGTAATTGATAGTGTTTTCTTCTTCTTAGACTTTAAACAAACTTGGCTTTCATATTTCAGTACTGGGGCTTGTTATAATTTGGTTTGTACTTCTTTGTAGAGAAAAAAATAACTTGTGAAGTGCTTTATTTTCAGGTATGGCTTCTTCTTCAAGTATGAAAAAGTATTCTCATCATCAGTACGAGGTTGGAAAAACTCCAATTCAGATAGTGTTTCCAAGGAACCTATTGGGTGGTATGGTTCCAGGTCTAAACTTTTATTATTATATTGTAAGATTGTATCTTCCAATCTCCACTAACTGTATGAAATGTTGTTTTTTTTTGTTTTTCAGGCAATTCCTACAATGCTTTTGGCTTTGATCCTCTGCTTTGACCATAGGAAAACAAGAGATGTGGTGAATCTTTTTTATCTAAAATCTTCCAAGGGCCACAAATACATATGGTATGCACTTCATGGGTACGCCATTGGCTTGGTATCGGCTCTAGCTGCAGGCGTCTTGACTCACTCACTTCAGCCAGCTCTACTTTATCTGGTACTTGTTTCTCTTCAATCAAAATTATTGATTCAATCCAATGCTTGTGTCGTAAAAGAAGTTTTGTTAGTATGTTTTCATGAGCTTGGTCAGTGTGATGTATGATTGTGTAACCCGTTTTGGGTGTTGATTATATATATAGGTACCATCAACCTTAGGACCAGTGATCTTCATGTTGTGGCGGAGAAAGGATCTTAGGGAGCTGTGGGAAGGACCAGCATTGTCCAATCCCATGGAGAAATCTCATGAAGTAGAGATCTGAGTTTATCATATCAAACAAAGATAGCTCAGAAACATTAACACAAAAACACTAAGTGTAGGGTTCTCTTGTATTCTCAAGTAAAAAAAAAACAGAAGTCATATATATCTCATTTTATTGCATGGTATACCTTACAGCCAGAATATTCAAGGAAGAAAAGTGTACATTCAAGTTTCAGTGTATAACATCTTATTTGATGATGACTATTTGATTTTGTGACAAATTAATTGAACTACGGTTATCATTCATCATCAATGTGCTACTCATCTAATATAGACTACTAGTTGACAAGATACAATGGCCAAAGTTAGAAAAGTGATGAGGAATATTGTACAAAAATAAAGTCCATCCCCGTAGAAAGCACTGATGTAATTAAAAGATGAAAATATTTCTTTGATCAACTGTTCTTGTCCTAACCAGATAAGGAAGTGTAGGGTTCTCTTTTGGTTTTCTCATTAACTATGAGTAATTTACTACCTTGTTCATTGTCAACTTCAAATAACCACTTCTTCCTTTCGAATTTCCACTTCCCACAGACGAGAATGATGTGATTCATGGTTCTGTAAGAAAAAAAGATTGAAGCAATAGTTCAAACCACCATGAAAGGGACCAACTTGATAAGGAAGAAAATAGGGATGAAAAAGATGACAACAGTTACGACAAAACAAATTAGACCTAATTGTGGTCTTATACCACAAGAAATAAACCAAAATCTAATTAAACCAAATTCCAACCAGACCAATTTCGAATTAATTGAATTTCCGATTAATTGCAATTGGAATTGGTTTACATAAACCCAGAATTTGCCAAAAAATCTGCCACAACGTAAATTTGACAAGTCTGCTACTTAATATATAAAAAGTCTGCCAGAAATTAAAAATCGATTATATAAATCTGTTGTATGAAATAAGTCGAACAAAAAAAAAGTTAACCACATAAATCTCTCGTCTCTAACAAATCTGCTACATCATTAGACAGATATATTCTAAAAATTGGTTTCTAAAATCATATCGGACAATTAAATCTGCTGTGCCAACAAATCTATTGTTTTAACGAAAGTTTGCCACCACGTTAACGATAGTTTTTTTTTTCCTCTCAGATTTTATAAATAGATTTATTATTCGATAAATTTGTTTTTTTTTTAAAATAAATCGGTCGTCGGGAGCACTCTGGTAATCTTTTTTTTTGGTTATAACTATGTCTATGGACATTTTTGATCAGAAAAATATTCAAAAAATGATAAAAAAATAAGAATCATTCTAGCAATAATACAATAATTTTGTGTCATTCTAGTAAACTTCCCTATATACAAATCTAATTTCCCAAATCATAGTCCAATTTACTCTTAATAAAAAGGGCCGACAACCAAAAAATTTTGGCTGTTGTCACAATTTTTTAAAAATCCTTGGAATTTGATTTAGTGTTATGTCACGAGGTTAAAATTGGAAATCTTAACATAAGAACTCTTTATTTCTGTCAGTTTTTGCTACATCCACCAGACACCAAAACGTACAGACTTCACATATTACAGACACATGCATGACAAAAAAAGCTTTAAGCCACAACGACACCACATATTTTATATCACCATATGAAACCATCGAGGTATAAGGAAGATCACGCCATGCCTTAAGCATTCACAACAGCTCCTCCTTTACAAGTAGAAAAAAACGGAAACAGTAAGTTAACAAACTTCCTCAATTGCTTAACAATATACTGAGACATATGCATCAATGGAAAGTATTACCGTTAGGGTGAAGAACTTGACCGGTGAAGTAAGAGGAGCAATGGTTACAAGCCAAGAAAACATAGGAAGGTGCCACCTCAATAGGCTGGCCGGCTCGTTTCATCGGCACTTCAGACCCAAAACTCTTGACTTTCTCCTCACTAAACGAGGCTGGGATGAGGGGTGTCCATATCGGACCAGGCGCCACACCATTTACACGAATACCTTTCTCAGCAAGCTGAAGTGCGAGCCCACGTGTGAACGCCACAATCGCTCCTTTCGTGGCGGTGTAATCAAGAAGAGATGCATGTCCCTTGTAAGCATTCACGGATGTTGTGTTTATTATACTGCTTCCTTCCTTCATGTGCTTCAACGCATGTCTAACAGTTACTAAGAAAATAATCAATGATCATCGCACATGCACGTGACTTCAAAAAAAAAAAAAAAACAAAGATATCACGCTTCTCAATTTTACTGACCTGGTGAGGAAGAAGTAAGAGAAAATGTTTGTCCGGAAGACACGTTCCAGCCTAGGCTCATCAATCTCTTCGATCGAGCTGCTTTCATACTGCTCCGCTGCGTTATTGATTAAAATATCAATGTGTCCAAACGCGTTAACGGCCTCGTCAACGACCCTCTTGCAGTTCTCATCGAATCCTAAATCCGTTGGAATAGCTATTGGGTCCTTGGCCTCCGATGTTTTTGCTTCCTTCAACATTTGAAGCGTCTCCTGGGCGTCTTTTTCTTCCTTCCCTTTCACATAAGTGAAAGCCACTGTGGCACCTTCGAGTGCAAAGCAGTAACTCACGGCTCGACCAATCCCAGAGTCTCCACCTGTAATCAACGCCACTTTTCCCTGTGTATGCATTTGTTACAAAATAACAAAATTAAATTAACCAATACTTTTAAATACAAAGAAAAGCAAGTATAAGATATAGGACGTTACAACGAAACGAACCATGTACTAAATAAACAAACCCCAGTTTCTTTTTTTTTTCTGTAAATTTATCTAGTTAAATGACTAAATCTCAATCTATATGAAAATCTTCATGTATATTTAACCAAATCATATTTGTAACATACGTCAAATTTAACTGCAACAATGATTATTGTGATAAGTGATATAAGATATCGTTTCAAAGTATAAGTTAAAGAGTGGTTACACGAAGCTTGTTGGAGGGTTTGTAGTCTGAGCTAGAGAATTGTGGAGTCGGGTCCATGACGTGTTCTTTGCCAGGTTGTACTCCTCCTTGTTTTTTGGTTTCGGACGCCATCGCTCTTACGCACAAAAGTTGAGATGGTATTCTACTTGTTTCTACCTTTCGAGGTAGGAAAGATCTATGGGTTTTGTTCGCAAATTGACAAGACGAAAGTCTAACCTCTGATGATGAGATTCTTGACGAAGTTACCAGTCGACACAACCCTTTCGTGGCCATTTATAACTGTGCGCATAGCTACACGATACATAGAAGCAGCATATATCTCTGCATAGAATCCGTCACGTGGCAGGGTGAGGTGCCAGACGTGGATACACGTGTTGGCTAACAGGGTTGGATTTATGGTAAGCGTGATCCGTGTGATGTGGACAACCCTTCATATTCGAAGAGATTTCTTCATCAGGAGACAGCTAAGAATAGGATATCTTATACGGTTTGTTATGTTTTCTGGGAAAAGTGTCTTAAAAATAATTGTAGATCAGTTCAAGAAAAAATATTATGGATCTGCCATTCTAACTAAATAATATCAGAACAGGCAGCTTTTGAACTTGCAATCAAAATCGGTCCGTCATGACTCATGTACTTAGGTCAAATCCAACCTCTAAAATTTGTGAATATATTTTAGAACACTTCACTTTAGTTAATATAAAAATGTTCTGCATAGATGGATACATTTTAGTTAAATAAACACATTGTGACTAAGTTTAATATATTGACTACACCAAAGAAGTTAAATAAACATATTCTGACTAAGTTTAATATCTTGACTACAATATGCACATCATCCACAATTTTAAGTTTTTTTTCATCGACTTAATTTTCATATTTGAAAACTTCAGTAGACATGTTATAGAGAAAAAAGTAAAGTCCATCCCATTCTCATTTACAACTTTCCTAATTAACTTCTTAATAAAAGAAAATCTAAAAATATAAAAAGCGCCACGTATGGATCCGAATAGAACACATATCACACTATGAGACGACATAACATGCAAAAGAATCGACTCGCCCCAAGTCACCTGAGCATCTTCGCCGGATTTCCTAATTAACTTTTTAATAAAAGAAAATCTAAAAATATAAAAGTGCCTCGTATGGATCCGAATAGAACACATATCACACTATGAGACAACATAACATGCAAAAGAAGCAACTCGATCGCCCCAAGTCACCTGAGCTTCACCGCCGGATTTCTGCATGACTCTAAACTTCTTTCAATGTTTCTTTTCAGTTCACAATCCTTTTTGCTTCTTCATCATTCTTATTAAATAAATCCTTAAAAAACTCTACCAAATCTTCTTTATCTCACCTTTTATACTCTGCAAAAACTTTGTCCAAGACTAAACAACGTCCCGCGCATAAACGGTATACCGAAGATGACGATATTACTCAAATCAAAAAATAAAGGCAAACCAACAAAAAATCATTCTTTTGATCTTGAAGACAGAAAAGACAAAAACAATCTGAAATCAGTTAAGACTAGCTCAGAACAAAGGGTAACTCCGAACAAAGGATGATGAAAATATGACGCAATCCAAAATTAAATGCAAACCAACAAAAAGAATATTTAATATAAAATTTATAGTATGATCCTATAAATTTACTGATCCTACGTACCGTCCCTATTACCACTACGAGTCTACGACATTGGAAACTTAAATATCTGCAAAATAAATATTTTTTTTTGTTTTAATCAGAAAATACAATCTTTCACATTATCTTTCTGTCTGATAAACAGATTTTTTATTATTACACAAACTCATCTCCTCTCCTAATATTGTTTCCAAATTTAAAATCTCTATTTTTCTACAAATTTATTTCTCTTTTCTAATTTTCAAATTCTTCCTATGATTTTTATGTCCAAAAATTCATGAATTCATGTACATAAGCAATCCACATTTCCATGTCCCTAAAAGGTTGTTCACATTTGGTGAAGAACCATGAGATATCAGAATCCCCATTACAGAAATTTCTTCAAATTGCTGAAAAACCATCTTTCTTAGAGTGTTTTGGTCGATTCATTATATCAAGACAATTGAAGGTAGCGAAGTAGATGCATCCAACATAATTGGCAATGCCTAGCCGTTTGTCAACCATGATATCTACATACTAGCAATGTAAATTTATGTTTTAAGTTCTCGACATACAATTGATTCCATCAGATTCCAAGTTAGTAATATTGGATAGTCATTTACCTTTGTAGATTTGTTTGGGTCAAGATACCATTGAAGTTGGCCCCTCTGGTTGCTATGGGAATGCAAAAGCAGTTGAAAAAGATGATATTGTGCTAGTTAACGCCGACTTTATTTTAGTTGGTTTGGATATTTGGTAACAATATTAGTTAATTTGGCATGCTATAAAGATTCTTGGCTTATGTATTTCTGATTGAACATAACCTCAAATTTTATTAGTAAGTTTTTCAATTTAATTTATTAATATTTATTACTAATTTATATTGTTATTAGATTGTAGCAAACAATTAGTCCCGTCATGATTTGTAGTTAATGAAGTCTGTCTGCACCAACAAGCATACATGCAAAATTCAGGATCCCTTCAGGAATTCAGCTAATAAGTCTTATAATTCAGTTTAAATTTAATTTTGTTTATTTGTTACTAATCTATATTGTAATTAGATTACAGAAAACAATGGTACTCCTAGCAACAATTTACAGTTGTGAAGTTTGTCTACGCCAACAAGCATATATGTGAAATTCAGGATCCAGTTATAAAGGAAGTTATCCAGCTCGTGAAATACCAAGCAGATGAAATCATTTCGAGTCAAGCTTCTATGGGTGAAGACAATTTTTTTTTACTTCTTCCAAGACCTTAATCTGGGAGCAACTGAACAACCTTGTTATCGAGGTAAATTTCTAAATATTTTGCTTCTTTTAATATGTATATGGTTGTAATTGTAACTTATGTTCTTTCTCATTCAGGTTGTTCTAAAGAAGAAAGAACGTTATGTGGGGCTGGGTCGATCAACCAAGGGGAAGGGGAGGAGAATTCGGGCTGAGCTGCAGCAAAAATATAAGTCGGCGCTGGAAGAGGGCATGACTCTCACACAAGTATTGTTGTACAAGTATAATACCCATTTTGGAGAAAATTCTAGGTTTATTTTAAGGAGAATTTATGTATTGTATAATAACTATCATTTTTTTAAATTTTAATTATGTTTTTCTTATTGTTATTTTCAATATTTTATTTTTATTGGAAGGTATTTTTATATGTTTTTGAAAAATATCATATTCTCGACGACTTATATTCGTCAAGAAATATAATATTCCCGACGAATAATATCTGTTGGAAAATACCATATTCATGATGAATTATATTCATCGGAAATTACCTATTCCCAACAGATAAATATCTGTTGGGAATTATCGTATTCAGTAAGAATATAGTAATACCCGACATATACAAGTAGTCGGAAATACGGGAAAACCTACAGGTTTGGGTGGTCAAGAATTCCCGACGAAAGGAAGTGGTCAGGAGTTTTCTAGATAATTACTGACGGACTTTACCGACGGATATCCTCATTGGGAATCTGTCAGAAAAAAAGTAATTTCTGATAAAATTTTGACCATTTTTGTTTACTGGCCAAATGGTTTCGACTTACAATGTCGTCGGAAATTCATCGGAAGAGGGTTTCTCAACCGGTTTTGATGCGTTTTTTTCTATCGGGATTAGCATGTTTTCTTGTACTGGTAATCTAAACAGTACACAAACTGTATGCCAAAGATGAAACTATTACTTAATATAAAAAGAAAGGCAAGCCAATAAAAACAAATCGTAGAAGATTTATCTTTGGAAAATTGCATGTTATGACAAAAAATGAATAATTCAGTGAATGACTAGTTAACCTAAATATTCAGCATACACTAAGTATTCCGTGTAATAATGCATTTATATCCTTGCAAGTTACTGATGTAACTGGATAAAATGATGTACAATAAATAATTAGTTATTTCAAAAGTGAATCATGTCCACTCAGTATGCACACTAACATGAAGGCAAATATTAATTTGGGGGAAGGTGAAACAGTTTATTCTCATGAACTGTTGATGAAACTGTCTATGTTGATGGTAAAAAAAAAGAGCTATGAAGATTAATGTAGTGAGTGACAAAATTCGGACGGCAATCGACATGCTGTGAGAGACATGTGAATATTGTGGGTTTCCATAAATGAGTTTTGCGAGGAAGACGGTACAGTTCATGAGGGCGAGGTTTCGAGTTTGATGACGTATTACATGAGGATACTTCAGGATGGTAAGTTTCTTTGCTACTCTTAGATTCTCCGAAGTTGTATTCATCATCATTGTATGTTAGAATGTAAGTAAAGTCAAGTTTGGTTTTTCTGTTTGTTTGCAAATGTTAATTATATTTCTTTTGCAAGTAAGTAGATTTGACTGAGTATATAAATAGAATAGATTTGATGAAGATAACTATGTGAACCTCAGTTGTTATGTTTCTATAAATTTGTAAACATAATATACCACCTATATATGTAAATGGAGTGGTACAGATATTTGTATGTGTAGTATATAAATGCTATATTGGTGGTGGACAATGTGTTGTATATAATTAGAATAGTACATATGTATGTGGGCATAGTATAGTAACTGGTATGTTATGATCATCACGTAATTGTTACTCTCTCTAAATTTAAAAGTATAATGTTTAAGGTTTTGTACATATATTAAAAAATTAAAAATCAACTTTTTTAATTATTGATTTTGGTTTTATCAATAAAGTTCAGCCACACATAATTTTACTTTTTAATTTATGTTTAATTTTAAAAACAATTATATTAATTGTATCTTAAAACATTAATATTTTATATACAAAGTAAAAATCTGGAACATCATACATTTAAATGCAGAGAAAATATTAAACAAATTTGGGGGTGAGGACTATCCATAGTAGACCCGTGAGTTTGTGTTGATATGTCAGAAAAGGAGATCTGAGAAGGAGAGAAAACGATTAATAGCCAATTATATTATGTCTGATAGAAAAAGAGTTATAGAATATTATGTGTTCTTCATCATCTTCATTAGTATACTAAGCGTTTTCCTGCACCATATATAGAAATAAAAATCTTAAAAATAAAATTTAATTAATTTTAAATTTACTATTTTGTTACATTATTAATATTAGGTTAATTATATGTAAAAATTAAAATAAATAAACAATTTTATTTAAATTTATATTTAATAATATATGTATATATTCAAATTAAAATTTTGGAAATTTATTTTTTATCTTTTTTTTCTTTTGTTTAAAATATGTTAAATCACATTTTCTACAATTAAGAGAAAATTTTGGTAGGTATATAATTAACAAAATATAAAAGTAAATGATATTTCTAAAATTTATAGATGTTATAAATAAAACTAAAGGTATTGGGATAAGAATTGTTTTTTTAAAAAAAACCCCGCATAAAATTTGGAAAAAAGTTATTCATAAAAATTATATAATTATGAAAAATAGACTTGAAAAATATTTCAAATTTATAAATATTCTTATATTTTTCTACTATTATATTTTTATTTTTATGTTAATGATAATTTATGAGTTATTACCATATTCTAGAAACTTACCAAAAATATATATTAACATTAAATGTAAATGTACAAGCCGTAATTAACTAAAAGCCATATCATCATTATTAATTGACATGTTACCATTTTTTGGTGAAATTGATTGTGGTAATGACATAAGTCAAAATCGCTTCTCAAATAATATACAGTAGAACCTCTATAAATTAATATAATTTTATAGTCCCAAATTAAGTTTTTAATTCAATTAGTATATCTATAAATTAATATCTTTCTAAATTAATAAAAAGATAAAATTTTGCTGTAGTCCTAACATTATTAATTTATAGAGGTTTCACTGTATAAGGCATACTTTAGTTTGTAACTTTTTCATCTATTAATCATTGTTCTAAATTTGTAAATATTTGTAACTTAAAATAAAATAAAGTTAAAATAAATATTTAATTAACTTTTGTCATCTAAATGTATCACAGATATAGAAAATAAAAGGGAGAATTTCAATTATACCACTTTGGTGGTACCATTTTTCATGTTTACCATCAACAAATGACCTTTTTCAAAAATACACATTTTATTAAAGGATAAAAGACTCTTATATCCTTGTTTTATATATATACATAAAATAAATATTAAATAAATATTAATCCTAAACCCTAAAACATTAATTCTGAACTCTAGACCCTAAAAAGTAAACCATAAACCCTAAAAATCAACGCTAAACTCTAAAATATCAATTCTAAACCTTAAACCCTAAACTCTAAACCTTAAAAAGTAATCCTAAGCCCTAAAAATCAACATTAAACCCTAAACTATCAATCCTAAACCCAAAACCCTAAACCCTAAATTCTAATAGTATTTTGACTATTAAAACTTTAATGGTAAAATTGGTTAGTGTAAAGTTGAAAAATGGTATCTTGAAAGTGTTATTTCTGGCAATTTCCCAAAATAAAAGCGTAAGACGGCATGCAATATGTTTGTTGGTATTCATATTCTCTCTGTTTATAAATAAGTGTCATTCAACCATATTTTTCTTATTTCAAAAATAAGTGTTACTTTATATTTTTAAAGTAATTTTTTACATTTAGTTTCTTTCTTACCCTTTAACTAACCAACAAAATGTTTTTAAAAATTATTTTTATTTAAATAATTACATATTAAATAAGGGTATTGTAGTATATTTGTTTATTTTCTTAATTTGCGTAAACTATATCTAAGTGACACTTATATTAAAACGTGAGAGAATATATTACATCGTTATCACCTCCACCCATTGATGCCGTTGCCTTCTCCTCCACCACCACTACTATCCCTTGTTTCTTAATATTTACCATCAATACAGCCATTAGTTGTCTCATTGTTGTCATATCTTCTCTTTTAGAAATCTGGTTATTTGACAAATGTATTTTTAACAACTTTTAGTTTGCAAATCGGTTTTATAACTAACATTTATAATATTATATAAATTATTGTGTACTATTTTCCGATTTTTATTTTATTTGAAACATTATATTTTATGTTTATGTTTTGGTAGTATTTAAAAGATGAGATTGAAGTTAGGAGTTAAGTTTATGATTTAAGGCAAACTAGTTAGATTTCATATTTTTCTGATAATTTCTTTAAATTTTAGTTTCAATTTATTTATATTTTGGCTTGTATACAATGTCCCACTTTTTATTTTATACTATAAATTTATCATTGTCTAATATGTGTTCTACACTACTTTGCATCCAATACTTCATAATATAGCTGCTAAGTAGATGGATTTAAACTTTTAAGTAAATAGAATACATTTCTATTGGAACTTCTAATTTATCCACTTATTTTATTATCTACAATATATTTTTATGCAGTAAGTAATTATGTGATATTGCCTCTTTGTAGGATTTGGTAGGAAATAATATCGTTTCACATATAACTATACCTCCAAATGTTGACGTCATTGCTTCATCCTTTTTTCTTTGATCAAACATCGCTTCATCCTCTTTATCATCGGTTACATGAAGGTATAACCAGAACAAAAGGGTGTTCAATGTTCGTTTTTCATTTTGTTAAATCAAGTATTATTTTCTTTATTTTTGTATTTTTGTGACGCTTTTATCTTTTGTGGTTGAAGAGAAAAAAATCTAAAATTAGTTAAAACCAGTTGACAGTTTTATCATCTGAAATGAAATAAAAGTAAATCAGAAGCTCACGAAAAAAAAAAAAAAATCAAATCGAACTACTTATTTAACTAAGGTTCTACGGAAAAACAAAAAGATTTTCTAAAAAATCGTTAAAATCGGAGAAGAATTCCGACGGACTCACCAGCAATCGTTTTCTCTCTATAAGAACATTTATTCCCCTATATTTATCTCTACAATAATTTTAGAACCAAAATTATTTAATTTTTATTCCATTTTTTTCTAAAATAGAAATTGTTATTTTATCTCTATATTTGGAAAGAATAAATAACATTCCTCTATAATAAAGACATACTTTTTCAATCACAAAATGATTCTTTGACTTTTTAACTTTAACCAAAATAAATACTTATAGTAAAACTTTTTTATTTATATAAATATAATCATAATTTTTATTTACAAAATAATTTGTAAAGAAAATTTTAGTGTAAATAATATCATAATTTTATGAAATTTTAAGATAACTTTGATTGATTTTCAATTTTCACAAATAAAAAGTATTATCTGTAAAATTTAAAAGAATATATCAAAAATATTTTCTTTTGAAAAAAAATTAGAGACAAATTCATCTCTATTATAAAGTTTATTTTTTTTATAAAAAATAAAAAATACATTAGAAATAACTTAAAATACCATAATATATAAAATATTATATTATATACATAGATAATGGTATATCCAGACATTTAAGTTTGTGCATAAACAGAGTAAAAGATACAATAAAAATTTGTTCAGTTTAGCACGAACATGTGTTTTCGCTCTAGTTGTATTTTGTTGTTGTGCATGCCTGACACGTAAAGAGGATGGGCATGACTACACGTCCTCTAGTGGTAGAACGACGATTCCTATGTGCCAAGTGTTGCGACTTTCGGCCGATCTTATCAAGAAAGAGTATTCAAATCTGAAGATTATATACACGAAAAGGGTAGAACCCAACACAATTTATTCTCTTTACCTTTACTCTCCTTTCATCCTGACCTTCACTGTTTTTATTACCAGACAACCAAGAAAATAAATCTAAAATTCGGTGAAGCGGAATGGTCTTGATCAGTACCAAGATGTCGCTGTCTTTCTACATCATTCATCTTCTCATATTCTCCTTGATTTCCACTTATGTCATTTGCAACCGTACACTCTCTGCTTCGCTATTAGTAGTGTAATCAAAAGTGTAATCATACTTTGTATTTATGATAATGCGTACATAAAAATGAATATTCACGCTCATAGGTTCACCTATTATTTCTATCTTGGGGGAGTAACATTTTTTACCTGGATTAAAGATCTTATCTGCTTCTTATGGATGCACACATTACACAGGAATACCTGTATATTTAACTTTTTGGGGGTTGTTGACCATTAGTATCAAAGCCTCAATACATGATTAATTCGATCCCATGCATATGTTATTTAGATTGTTAGCTAGCATGCTTAACTGTGTTACCTGATGGTTTCATTTTCATATATTTTCAATTTATGTTAAATGTTTGCATGTTATTTACATTTTTTCTATATTAATAATTACATCCTTCTAATAGTATATCCACGTTTGCATGTTACATTTTTTCAGTATTAATAATTACATCCTTCTAATAGTATATCCTCGCTGTTGTCTTTGGAATGTTGTAGAGGAGGAGGATAATCTTCTTCAAGGACTGAACAGCTACAGATCTGCTCAAAGGGTTCCACCTTTTGCAAAGAACGATAAGGCTGATTGTGTGGCCGATGAGATAGCTGAGAAGCTCGAAGATGAGCCATGCACAAACCATACAGCAGCTAGCACGGTTACTCCTGGTTCTGTCCCTCCACGGTTATCGGACTACCAAGACATTCTCTCTGAGTGCAAGGTCGACCCAAACACTACCCGTGATGGATTGATCTTACCAGTTTGTATCCCTAACCGGGTACCTACTCTAGCTCTAACAAACTACACCCACACCGGTTATGCTCAGTATCTGAACGATTCAAGGTATGTTGGGGCCGGTGTTGGTTCAGAGAAAGAGTGGATGGTTGTTGTGTTGACCACAAGCACTCAAGGTGGAAGTTTCTCCACTGGTGAAGCAACGTCACCGAGAGTTATGGCTTGCTTTGGTTTAATGGGTCTCTTGCTTAATGTCCTTTTGGTCCTGTGAGCGAATGATGTTTGTATATTTTGTAAAATCTCTTTTGTATCATGTATGGTGTTTTTCTTAAGGGGACACGAAAATATTGTGATGGATCGAAGAATGTTGAAGTTGTGTTTTGACTAACCAAAAGGTCGTCTTCTTTTGATATTCTTCTAAGATATCCCAGTTAAAATTAAATACATCCGAGGGAATAGAAAATTGACGACCAAATTATACAACTTTATCAATATTTGCCAACATTATCACTCTCTTCTCTCTTAAAGTATCACAGAGAGACTCACTTGTGCTTGATTCTGTAGGTTAATCCCGCATGTGGTGGCTTCTTGAGCACTGATAAGTGGCACTTGGCTCTGCCGATTCGCTTTTTTCTCTCTTGTGATGTCGGTATAGTCTAGATAGTGTTGTTATAATAGTCTTGTGTTTTAATAGTCTAGATAGTGTTGTTGACCGGGCTCCAATTTGGTGTTCGTTTATTTTTCCTTAATATTTTCTGATCTTCACGTGTTCTCACTCATAATATGTATAAGGAAAGTATAAAGGAACATGAGCAGGAACTAGAACATGTACTGAGGAGGAACTTGTATCTGAGGATGTTTTAACCATTCAAAATGGTTCGATGACCCATAAATCAAGAAACTCAAAGAAACATTTAGAGGAATACTGTCAGCTAATAATGTCTTTGTCAAAACGGAAACAATATCATCAGAGACACCTTAGCCATGGCCACCACTCAAGTCAATATGATTTCTATCTGATCAGTAGAGAGGCTCGTAACTTGTGTGTACACCTTTTTTAAGAAAATGACGAATACTCATGAACAACTCAAGAACAAGGGAGAAAGAAAGATGAGAATTGGAGAGAGAATAAAAACGATACATTATTTCATTAATCCTGTAGTTTTTGCGCACATATACATATATAGACACTAAAGAGAGAAAGAGGGACTAAAATATACAATGGACAAAAACTTGTATTAATCTCCAACAACTATATCATGTTTAAATCTTGAATTTATATGTGTGTCTAATCCTCAGGTGCAGTGAAATGAATTGAAGTATATTGCAATGCAGTAAAGTGTAGATTGCTTTGTTTTTTTTTTATCTTATCTCTTTACTTTTTCATATCAAATATCAGTATTCCTCAAGCTTAATCATAAAATATGGTTAAGTTTGGAACATGATAAAAGACATCCCTTATTAAAACTTTAATATCCAAAATCTAAAAGGACAAAAAACATTTAGGTATATCATGACCTTATTAAAACTTTAATATCCAAAATCTAAAAGGACAAAAAACATTTAGGTATATCATGAACTTTCCACTACTCATGTGCGACCACACAATCCACAGCACTTGTGTTCAAAGCTTAACCACATCCAGAGTTTTGATCTTAGTTAGGATCTTATTAGCTGGTACCAGAGCAACTTTAGAAGTTGAGTTTTCTGATTTATCTCGCTGATTTTGTTATTTAGCTCTTCAGATCATTGTAAGGAATTTGAATATGTGTTTGTCTGAGATTGTGACATTAGGGTTGAGAAGTTTTCGATTTGGCAATCTGTGTTTGTCTGAGATTGTGACATTAGGGTTGAGAAGTTTTCGATTTGGTTTAAGAATTTGACTATTCATCTTTTTAGATCATGATTTTTGGGGGTTTGTATTGACTTATTTCAAGTTTCAGTTATAATCTCCACTCTTGAATTGACACAACCATACAATGAATCTATCTTGTTTTAAAAACCAGCGTCGGTCCAATAAGTATAGAGGTGTTTGATATCTTGCATATTTGCATTGTTTTTATCGTCTATTCTTGTACATTTTGATCATTTAGAATAACATTTAGATATGTTTAGGTTGCATTCCATTACATATGTCCCTATCAGGTGATGAAAATGCCAAATGGTGACTTTTGAGCATTTGGAGATGTTTTGGAGGCAAGATTGATATTTTGGAGTTGTTTCACGGAGTTCCAAGAGTCCCAGCGGTCAGACATAGCGGTTTCGAGCAGCCGATGTGACCATAAACAGCTGGGAAATAACCCAAGTTCTTGTCCAATTTTTAGACTCTGCAGCGGCCATGAGACGAAGTTGGGAAACAGCTGAGTGCCACCGCAGCCTAGTGGAGCTGTTTCAACAAACAGCTGCGAGCGTTCAGAAATTCAGCATACGAAGTTTGACCAGACATATTTATCATTGTACCCTCGTTTTTCCAGCTTCTATAAATACTTTCTAAACCTAATTTAAGATCTTATCTTGTTTTCTCTTTAAAAATACATTGATATTTTGAGGAAAGCTTGAAGCTTTTAGTAATCTAATCTTTATGTTTTTGAGTAATTTGAGTATGTCTCATCTTCTTAACATGATTAGTCTTGAATCCATCATGGGTTTAAGGTTAAACATGGTGATTAGTGAGTAGACTACTTTGTGATTCATGTGTTAGATGGATTAGGGTGATTAATTGGATATTTAGGATGTATTTTGTTAGACTAAGATAGATTTATGCTTGCTAGGTGATCTTAATGCTAGATTAGCCTTGATCAAGTTGATTTAGAACCTAAGCTTTTTCATGCCCACAAGGTGTTTGTTAAAATGCTTGACTGAACTTAGTATTGCTCTAGCTTGATAAGCCAAAGACATTTGATGTTTAAATTGCTAGATGGTTAATAGACTTAAGCTTATTGCTTGTTTGATAGTATTAGGTCAAAGACATTTGATGCTTAGTACTTGATTACAAAAAGATTATTATCATGACAATGGATTAATCTACTTGTATGAGTTCTAGACCTATACACTTGTTGATTGTGTTACTTGAACATCCTAGATTAAAACTTGATCATCCTATATAAATCATCTTTACCTATGGATCCATCTTTATTACTTGATTGAAAGCTTTAGTTATTTACATTGCTTGTTCTTGTCACTTGTTACTCATTCACAAAAACAACTTTGATTGCACTTAGCTTGAGTTCATGACTTGCATTCTCATTGCTTAAAACAACTTAGGATTAGATTGACAATCTTAAATACTATATGGATTTGACTTAGGAACCTAAAAAATCTTTATCAGTCCTACTCAAATTTTTAAAAATATGCCCCTTTATAATTTAAAATTCAAAATAAGAAAAATTTCAGCTGAGAAATCCAAAATATTATGGACGCTAATTCATTGCTTACTCTACATGTGTTATGGGTCGAGTTTGTTAAAAACTGAGATGTTTTTTTTTGTGTGTTAGAACTAGTTACTGAATTTGTTTTCATGTTTCTCAGGTTACCATGACAAGAGAAAGTAAAGAAGGAATCAGTATTGCTAATAAACTCTTGCTTGAAGCAATGACTGACCAAGTGGAGTAGATAATGAACACCAAACTGGATACTTTGCGGCAGGAACTTCAGCAATAAACTGATAATCTTAGGCAGGAACAAAAAAATATGAGACGCAACTTTGAACATCAAGAGAAATCTCGCCATGAAAAGGCCAACGATTACTATGGACACTAAGTTCCTCTTCTAAAAACAGTCAAATAGAAAGAAGACATACACGTGCACAAGAAGGCAGAGGTCACCCAAGAGATGAACTATCTAATCTCAAAATTGAATTTCCTCCCTTTCATGGCAAGTCTGATTATGCGTATTTGGAATGGGAGGAAAATATTGAGATGGTTTTTAACTGCCAACACTACACTAAGGTTAAGAGAATGCAAGTGACTGTTATTGAATTTATGATTATGCTTTGAGCTGGTGAGATCAGTCAGCAATGCCTAGAAGGTGCAATTATGAAGCACCAGTAAACATGGCTTGAGATGAAGACCATAATGCGTAGAAGGTTTGTTCCAAGTCATTACCATTGTGAACATCATCAAAGATTGAGAAAGCTCCATCAAGGCCAACATTCAGTGGAAGAATATTATCAAGAGATAAAACTTCTTATGACACGAGCTGATATTTGAGAAGATTGAGAAGCTATTATGTCACGACATAGACATACAAGAAAACTTTGGAGATGCAACACTATGTCGAGCTAGAAGATATGCTACACAAGGCCATTCTGGTCAAACAATAACTCTAAAGAAAGAATGGTTCTAGAACAAGCTATGGAGTGGAAGGTTTAGTCATCACAAGGATAAAAAATAAGCTGAGGATAACAAGCCATTTCAGATGAATCAAGAGGAATTTAAGCCACATACCATATTTAACAAGCACAGAGGAAAGGTTGAGGCTTCTACTTCAAGAGCTTGGGATGTAAAGTTTTTAAAGTGAAAAGGAAGAGGGGAATATGCAAATGAATGTACTCAAGAAAGAATGGTAAAATTGTGAGTTGGAAGTCTACTCTTCAGTATATTGTAGCTCTTTCCATTACAGAAACTGGGTACATGACACTCTCATAGGCAGCTAAGGAAGAAATTTGGTTGATCTTTTGCGGCGAATTGGGGTTTTAACTCAAAAAAATTCAAAAATGAATTGTGACTCGTAGAGTGCAATTTTTTGGCAAAAAATCCACTTCATCATGACTGGACCAAACAATTGGAGAATAAAGTGCATTTATCAGGGACGAGATTCAGTAAAGCAAGAAAAAAATAATAAAGTTTTAACACTGATATTAAGTAAAATGACATAAGGAAAGCAATACTACAAACACACTAAATTATTACAAAACTAAAAGACAATTTGAACATAGCGGAAAAGTATCTAGTATCTATAATTCTGTTTATCTGCAATTTTCATATGCATACAGATTTTTATGAAAAAATTGGTTAATTGGACCATATTGAGAAAATATTTGTCCCATTATACCTTCTTAGTCAATATTTTTTTTTTATAAATACGAAAATAACTATATAGTTATAAATAACATAATTCGATTGGCCTTAAATATAATCAATATTTCTGTTTTTAATTTCTTATTAAGAAAAACTATAAAGCTAGAAATATTCATCCCTTGTTTACTCAATATCAAAGTAAGTAATCTGCCTTTTTTTTTCTTATCAACAGTGAATCCCACTTGTTATTGAC